GGGGTACCAGGAGGTGAGGGGTGTTTCTGCTGGGGAAGGCACGGCAGGAGGGTCCCTGCGGGGGATCCCTGTGGGTCTGGGGGCGGGGGGAGGGTTTGCTGTTACAACCGTTCACACGCTGGGTCTGGGCATTCCCAGTGCCGCCAAAGCACTGGAGACCTGGGGCAGAGCTGGGCTCCATCACGCCCTCTCTTCCCGGCCGCAGATCCCTGTGCCGGTGCTGCAGATCAGTGCCTCCCAGCACCCCGTGAAAGCCGGCCTCTCCGATGCCTTCATGATCCTCAACCCCTCTCCCGACGTGCCTGGTGAGTCCTGCACTTGTGGGGTGGGGGGAGGCGGCTGCTGGGGCAGGGGAGCGGTGGATCCCTCCCTCGGGGATGCCAAGGCTCCCCTGGCATCGCGGCTGGGAGCGGGGGCAGTTGCGGGGGGAGAGATGAGATGTCCTCATCTTTGGGTGCTTGATCCCACGAGGATGCGCTGCTTGGATTCACGGTGGGGAGCAACGGAGCGAGCGGAGATGTGCGGGGCTCGGCCGCACGGATGCCCCTCGTGTCCCACCTCCCCTGGCGCATCTCTCGCCGTGGCCCAGACCATCGTGCAGCTCTGGGTGGCCCCATGGGTTGGGGGTGGCCCCAGGCCACGGACGCTGTGTGCTTTGGCGATGCGCTGCTTGCCCAGTGTGTTTGGAATAGCTGTGAGCAGCCAAGCTATCGCTTCCCCGATCTCCAGCTGATGAGGAGGAGGGGAGGAACGCTTGCAGATGAGACTGCAGATGGGCGAGAGGCTCGGGGGGGTGCTGGATGCCACGTTCTCATAGGCATGAGGGTTTAGGAGAGCCTCCCAGCCCCACCGCTGCTGCTCGGGGCTGTCCTTGAGCACGCAGCGTGGCACGGGTGCTGCGGGCAGGGCTGGGGTCCGCACCGGTGTCGGCAGGACATGGGGATGGCTGCATACGTGTCCACACGCTTATTCCACATGTGTCGTGAGCTGCGGGCATGGGGTGAGCTGGCTGAAAGGGTCTTCCAGCCTCTCCCATCCCTTCTTGTCCTAGGAACCCAACCTCGCTCCAGCCTCCCCGCGCTGCACCCGGCGTGGTAGCTTTTGCTCGTTATTTATGAAGCTCGCCATCTGGCGACATGGGGATGGCTGCATACGTGTCCACACGCTTATTCCACATGTGTCGTGAGCTGCGGGCATGGGGTGAGCTGGCTGAAAGGGTCTTCCAGCCTCTCCCATCCCTTCTTGTCCTAGGAACCCAACCTCGCTCCAGCCTCCCCGCGCTGCACCCGGCGTGGTAGCTTTTGCTCGTTATTTATGAAGCTCGCCATCTGGCCCTTGTTTATTGCCCGTTTACAGCAGTTCGTGTAAAATCCTCGGGCAGGCTGGATGG